GCGGCCGGGAATCTCCCCACTTTACCGACGGGGAAACAGCCACAGAGCACAGTGGTGCCCAGGGACCCCGCTGGGCCCAGGCAAGCTGCCCGGCTGCCCGCGGCTCCCCGGCCGCAGGCTCCCCGCGGCCCGCCAGGGGAAAAATGCGCGGTCCAGTGAGTGGAGTGGCTTGGGGGGCCTTTGACGTGCCCGAGGGGCGCGCGAAGAAGCCCCTGTTTGCCGCGGAAGCAGTGGGTCCACCCCATGCTTAGCGCGCTCGCGGCAGGGGGCGGCAGGAGGCCAGCGCAGGTGAAGATCCGGCCGGTCCTACCTGAGCCTGAGCTCCCCCCGAGCACATCACTTAGGCTGTTTTAACGTTATCCGCCTTTTTGGGGAGCTGCGGCTCACTGTTAATGCCTACTTTAGGGAGCAAGCCCACACACAGGCTGGGCCCGGGTTTCTCACCTGGGGGTGGGGCTGTGTTAACCCGTCTGCTGGGAGGGACCTTCACTTTCACACCACTTCCAGACCATGCGAGCACCGTCGGCTTCCGCTTTCCTGCTCCAGGCCTGTGTGGTTGCAGCAGGGGCTGCTTTTATCCGGTGGCCCAAGGCCGGGGAGCTGGGAAAGCCTCATGCCAACCAGGTGCTCTCGGCCTCTCACCCACACATTCTTCTTGAGCAGCAGGGCAGGGCTTAGGGGTCCAGAGAACCTGTGGCGGCCCTGGCACCCTTGTACTGGGGCCTCTGTGCAGAATGACCTTTCACCCCTAGAAGGCCCTTGTGGCCCACCCGTTGACGCTGCCCCTGCAGCCCTGGGAGGATCCGTGCCAGAGGAGCGTGTGACCTGAAGGCTGGGATGAGGTCTGTTTTGAGAACAGAGAGGAAGAGAAAGTTGGAAAGGGAGAGGCTTCCCAGAGAGGGGGCACCTCTCCTGAAGGAGAAGGGGGTGCAGAGGAGCGTGAGCTGCGCTGCCCGGGCCCCATGCGGTCTGGGAGGCGAAGGCTGTTCTTCCTTCTCTGTCTACCAAGACTGCGAGGCGGCTGCTGCCGCCTCCCGTGGAAGCTGCCTGCTGTCCTGGCTCCCGGAGGGCGGCCGCAGGCCCATGCTGCTCCCCCTCGGCCTGCCTAGGAGGAAATGTGGGGGCCAGTGAGTGGGAGTGGCTTGGGGGGCTTTGAGTTTAAAGGAGAGATTGGGACATTTGTAACATGTCATTCATCCAGTGGGTCTCCGCTTTCTGGGAGAATGTTTAGGTGATTCAGTCCTCTCATCTCCAGAGTTCTGCTTTGGTTCTTGGGGGGCTGAGTACAGGTGTCCCCCTCAGAGATGCCATCTTTGACCGCCTCTCCCTCCTCGGCCCCCAGCGCCTTCAGCACTCAACCCCTTTCACCACCACAAATTTAGTTTCTCCTGTCTGTGCTCCCCCAGAATGTAACTTGCCAGAATTCCCAGGGCCAGTGTGTGCCCTCTTCCTGGGAAGTGTTTTCACATGGAAAATACTAAGTAATTGCTAAATGAATACTATGCAAGGGAAGTGGAGGGGAAAAAAGTTGAGAGACTTGGTAGATACCTTTAAGAAACAAACAAAAAAACCCAGAATGAAAATGGCCAGTTCCCTTCTCTGACTCCCAGAGCAGTGAGGGGCCAGCGGCCAGCTAGGTTCTGCTGGTCAGACCCAAACTCCGGTGGGCTGTGAGGGGGGCACTTGCGGTGCGGGTTCTTCCTGTTACCCCAGAAGGTGCTAGTGATTCTCAGGAAAGGGCCTCAGGGCCCAGCAACTTCAGTTTTCACGTGGACTCTGCTGTCCTGTTCCTTAGAGGAGCAGAACTTCCTTCTGGATGAGTGTCTGCTCTTCCTGTGCAGGTTTCGGTGAACATTGCTCAGGAGAGGAGGCTCTTGCTGTCACTGACTGAAAGGGGACCCCGTCCCCAGGCCCCGGCCGGGTGCTCACTCTCACCCTGCAAAGCGGGTGCTGCAGCCTCATTTTGC